ACACACACACACACACACACACACACACACACACACACACACACACATGCCCACACACGCCTACACACGCACACACACACACACGCACACACATACACGCACACACACACGCACACACACATACTCTCTCTCTCTCTCTCTCTCTCTCTCTCTCTCTCTCTCTCTCTCTCTCTCTCCCTCTCTCCCCCTTCGTCGTCGCCTCTTTCCTTTCAAGCGACGACCCTCTTCTTCGATGGTGGCCCGATCTTTCGCACACACGTGAGTGCGCAATCATTCCCTCAGCTACGAGAATGGCGAGCGGCAGCGCGCAATGGCATCGGTAGCTAGCGTGCGTAGGGAAGGGGAGGGACACCAATCAATCAATCAATCAATCAATCAATCAATCAATTTTTATTTCTTGATTTTGTTTTTTTTTCCCTGTTTGGATGATTCTTATTTTTTTTAAAATATAAAAAAAAACAAAAAAATAAAATAAAGATATGGGGCTCAAGAGCATGAAAAGCTATACATCCCCATTTCTTATTTTGTTTTTTTGCGCTTTTTTGGGGTTAGGCTTTCATCATTTTGTACGAGACCGTTCATAGGGCCGTACGCCCGTTCATAGGGCCGTACGCCCATTCATACAGTCGTACGAGCGGAGCCCCATACGACGTACGACGTGTTACGTAGATAAAAAATGTGCATCGGTGTCATGATCAAAGTGAAGTGGCGAGCTTTTTTGCTCAAGCCACATGAGAAATGATGGAGGGGGTTCGTGGGGGAGAGGAGCAGGGAGAAATGCCTGCTCTAATACCAGTGTGGCGGACCCGCCGGGATGGCAGTCCGTCAAGACGACGACGAAGGGGTGAGGATGATGGAGATGGAGATGGAGCTAGAAGGGACAGCGCAACTCCGACGCAGACTCAACACGCACGTATTCTAAAATGTGCAGAATGAAGTATGAATATGAAACAAACTGCAGTTGGGGTATACCCCCAGCGTACAGACTGGACTGGACTGGACTGGCCCGGTACCGACAGTGGTACCGGGCAGGACTCGACTGGACTGAATGAGCACACGGTCTGTGGGGTCAGGCCACGGAATTGTCCCACGGCCTGACCCACAGGCCGAACAGGCAAAATAGCCTGATAGAGGCAAACGTCGTGACGAGGCGTCCCTAATGCCTTCGAGTCTCGAAAAGCCACTGATGGGTGGCTGCTGTTCGTGTACGTCTGACAGTCCTACGTGGCACCCTATCACCGCCACATTATGGCATCCTGTCACTCTTTCGAGATGGCGACTCACACTCGGAAGTGGGATCAAGTGGGAACGTTACAAGTCATCCCCACCAGCACTGCCCATCTTGAAAGCTCTCTCTCTCTCTCTCTCTCTCTCTCTCTCTCTCTCTCTCTCTCTCTCTCTCTCTCTCTCTCTCTCTCTCTCTCTCTTGCCCATACCTCATCGTTGGCTTCAAAGTGGCCATCTTCGTCTCCGTACGCAAACAGGACGGAAAATTGTCCGCAAGTTCCGTCATTGTCGTTAGAGAAATGACGGTGTGCAGACACGGCGAAAAAAACAAACAAAAAAAAGAAATAACAAAGTCAACAACAAACTACACACACTAAACAACATACACACGCACACACATACGCACATGGACACACAAATGCAAACACACACGTGCATATTCCCGCATACACACACCTGCGCCGAAGTGGTCGAACACGAATGTGTGAGACAACTCCAAACGCGCAAGCGCACATCGACAAATGATGAAAAACAACACAGGATAGCCACGGAAGACACACGAAGCAGCACGCAGGCACGCACACACGCTTGCTGCAGAACGACTATGGCGTCGGGGGAATGGCACAACGGCAATGCCACCGCCACGGGCTGGGAGCAGCGGATGGGCAGTCAAGCCGACGGTGGCTATGTGACCATGCGATCGAAACCCTAGAGGACTGGTAGGGACTATCGACGCGAGAGCATGTTTCCACAATCGTATGTAACGACGTAAAAAGACAACAAAAACGAAAATATATTACAAACCAAATTACGAAAATGAAAAAAAAAAACACTATTCGAAAATCTTCGTCAAATTTTCAGTAAAGGTATTCTGTTCCCGCCACCACAGGAAATAATGAAAAGTTGGCGGCCGGCCACTCAGTGGACCAGCCCGACCGCTTTAAAGGCCCTGGCCGCAATCCGCTGCCCAACTGCCTCTTCGGCCTGGGCCCGACGTCCCGCACCTTGGGACTTTGGGAGCACGACTGGAAAGGTCGGTGACTTGCCGGAAAACCCGACCCTAACTCACAGCGCCGAGGGTTTTCGACTGTCGGGGGGAGTGCGGTTTAAATCCCTTTCTTAATAGCGTTCGCGTTGGCCTTCTTTGGGGTACCCCTTTCATTCGTTTTTGCAACTCCCCTTTTACTGGGCCTCTCATGTACAAGGCTCGCCACATAGACTGTGGTTGAGAGCGAGCTGCCCACATCCCTGTGTGCCATAACGGCCCACTTGTACACTATGAAAGGAGGCAGCCTAAAGGCGGAGGTATATTCCAATTCATTTTTCCTCCGGTATTCAACTTATATTTTGTCTATTCTCGTAGTGATGCTCATTCGTATGCATTTACTAGCAGTACAGAAGAGGAGGGAGGAAGGAAATAGAAGGTGGAGTTCTCGCTGGGTTCTAAATACTCACCGCTGGGCCAGACTACTCCAGAATGGCACATGAGGTCATAGGGCGCACGTGAACTAGCTTGGAGATAACGTAAGGGCATTAGTATCGGGCATTAGTGAGCGTGTTTTCATCTATCAACACTGATAGCCAACACGATTTGTCAACAGTTGCGGAGTATTGCGCACACGGACTTCTGTCGGGGTTAGTGGTATGGTGATACCATTGAGAGACGGAGAGTTAACGAGGAGTCTGAAGACAACTGCGGGAGCATTACCGGGCTGTGTAGGAGGCACTGGAAGATGCCGAACAACGAGCAGCATGATGGTGGAGGAAACTCCGGAGGAGACGGTGATCATCGGCCGTATCGCCATCCCACGTGCTTCAACTGTCGTGAGGCGGGACACTATGCTAACGAGTTCCCGTATCGGGAACGTCGACAGTTTGCGAGTCGTCCGTCAACTTCGTCGGACTCAAGAAGATCGCGATCGCCGAGAAGAATGGAGTATATGCGGCATTATTCTCCACCCGGGATTGATAAGGATGTGAGGTCACAGATTGCGGAGCTTAATAAGAACTTGGTATCAATTAAGCAATTTCATGACGCTGAGCAGGCCAAAAAGGAGGAAAAAGCCCGGAGGAAGCGCGAGAAGGAGGAAGCCAAGAGATGTGAAGCCGAAGAAGTTGAAAAGCGAGCAATCGAGGAGGCCAAGCGAGAAGCCAAACAACAGAAGAAGCGAGAGAAGGCGCGTAATGAAGCCGAGCTGCGGGCCGAGATGAGGAAGGATATGTCACTACAATGCGCCATCATGTTGAGTGAAATAAAGGATAGTTGGGTGGAAGAATGGAGGCAGACCGCTCTACCAGCGGTCAGGGCAGTAGACCCCAAGGGGAAGAAGAAGCTTCAGTATGAAGTTGAGGAGGTGGTTTCGGACGCAAGTGGAGATGGCAGCGAAACTAGCGTCACTCAAGAATTGAGCGAGAAGACTGGGAAGCTTTTCATATCGGAAAAGAGGAAACGCGAAGCTAACGTTGTCCTCGAAGGCAGCCCGCCAATGGAGACCAGCGCCAAGCGTACGCCGAAACGCGGAACGGGGAAACAGACGGACTTGAGCATGCGGTTGACTCGATCGAAGACTGCCAAGAAGACTGGAAGGATACCGATCCCAGCTAAGAAGAAGACCCCAGTGAAGACACCACTATCTAAGATTGTGAGGTCCGCGAAGAAGAAGACTCCACAAAGTCGGGCGACTCCAGATGCAAGTGGAGCTTTGGCTCGTTTACGTTACCGAGATGCTGTGATAAAGGAATTGAAGGACCTGGAGGCTCCTGAATTGCAGAAGATCTGTCGGGATGAGGGCCTTCATTACGATAAGAAGATCGAGGCTATATTCGATATTGTAGAGCATCAGACCCAAATTACATTTGAAGAAGCTCCGGTGGATGAAGCGGAAGTCATTCGTATTGCCGATTCCGGCAATACCGAGGAGGTAAACCAACCTGATGGTAAGATTGAGTGAGGAGGGTACAAAGCGACCCATCTTTGGAAGTTGTCGCGATATCTTACCAGCTTGCGTTGTAGCTCTAATTACACATCTAAACGGGTTGATAATGTGCTCCGAGTGGTGATTATCCTATTGACACTCCTAGACCAGATAAAGTGGACACGTAGATACGTGAATACTTGGTTGAATCTGTATCGAAGGCATAGCGTGGGGTTCACTGACTTAAGTTGTGTAGTGTATGCCGCAGTGTCACCCTACTGTAAATTGTTTTACGTAGGGAAAACAACTCGCGATGTGAACACACGTTGGAGAGAACACTTGTATACCTGCCGAGTACGTACTCAGTCGCATTTTCATCGTTGGCTTGCATCATTCGGTTCTGGAAACTATGTCTTGATTCTCGTTGATGTCCTCGTTGGAGATGATTTGGTGAAACTCGAAGAATTGTACATTAGGCATTGGTCGCCATACCTGAATACATTGGGGACTGCAAACACGAAGGCACAGGGAAAGAAGAAGGTTCCGGGGAAGAACGAGCGGGCAAGGACAGCTGGCAACGGAATTGGGGGCAGTAGTCATTTTGCACCTATCCACTTTCGTCGTGCTAATAGCCATGTCTGGGAGGTTGACTTTTATAAGTGTTTTGATGAAGTATTGAGCAATAACAACCTCGGTTTGGTATTTAGAGTCGAGAGTAGTAATACCTGGTGCCCCAATTGGAAGAAGCTGGTGAGAGCATTTGGGGAAAGTAAATTGCGACATGACTCACGTGCTTTACGTCTTAAGGAATGTAAGGGTTTGATCGAAGCTGGTGGCGTTTTCGAGTTGACTTACGTTTGTAAATGGAGTTCGAAATGTAAATTTCTGAAACACGTTTTGGTTGGAATTCTACGGAATCCTAAGAAACTATCTGACCTGTATAAGTGGAGTATACGATTTTTTTTGCGAATTTATCGAGTAATCAAGGACTTCTCACGAAAGTCAACAAGAAAATACCTACGGAGACTGTTAGGCCGTTGCTTCCAGGATCGTTTCGATTTGAGTTTGTCCGCTGATCTTGTGTTTCGGGTGAAATTCGATGAACGCATTAAGGTGTCGGAATTCAGGAAGATTATCAATGATGTGTTAATGACTTGTAACCTACCTCGTTGTTTTTTGTTGCGTGCGCGTAGGAAAATCCGGATTGTCTGGACTAAGAAACAGGCAGTTGGGGAGATCTTGCACAATCATCGTAGTTATGCAACACGAGATGTGCTCACCTGTACTTGTGCAGGTATGACGTTTCCATGCGTTAATGGTCATGTGCGTTTTCGTCTCGGTGATTTGGATGGTGTGCATCCACTGCTGACGAACTCGAAGAACATACCTCGTGTCGAGGTGGGCAACAGGGAGTTGTTGCTAAAAGAAGAGTTGGCCGAAGGCTTCAAAGGCTAGGTCAATCTCAAGGGCTTATGCCCTGACCTTTCCGCAGTTTCGTTATCCACGTGCGTGTCTTCGATTTCTGAGTCTGCCAATATTCCGTCTTTGGATCTAGTATTTGATCTTAAGTACATATTAACTGGTTTGGTAATTTCTGTTGTTGATAGGAATCCGGGTGAGACGGTTGTGATGTGTCCAGCCATCTATTATGATGCAATGTTATCTACATTCGTTTGCAATGCAGGTTATCGAGTGACGACTGTACCTGAGAGCCATATTATGAGGGAAATCCGTGAGGACGTTGACTCCAAAGCTTTGTCCAGATTCGTGAAGTGGGACGTCATTGGGCACTTTGGCTCTGCTTACGTAATACCGAAACATAAGGACCTGGATAGGTATCGCCCTATCTGTCCTTCTTTCAGTGAACCCATGGTACGAACCGGACGGCTTGTGGCAAAGGGATTGAACTATTTGTTGAGCACGTTACCTAAGGATTGGCATTTCAATTTACGTTCAGTCTCAGACCTAAAGGGTCGGTTGTGTAGCATTAATAAGAAATTCCTTGGTTTAGGGAGAAATCGAGTAATTACTACATATTCCTTTGATATTAAGGATATGTTTAGTAAACTCCCTCACACCGACATCCTTCGGGCAATTGATTGGGTAGTCGAATATCATTTGAGTAAGAATCGTGATTTCGTGCGGGTTAACCCCCGGGGTAAGGGAGTCAGTTTTGGATCAACCACTGGGGGGGATCACTGGCGAAGACTTGATCTTCAGGATATTCGGGAGTTTGTTCATTTGGAAGTCAATCACACGTATTTCTTTGCCACAGGGGTTGTAATGAAACAGGAATTGGGAATTCCCATGGGGAAAAGTACAAGTCCTCCTATTGCTTTTATCATGTGTGCTTATTCTGAATATGAGTTGAGATGCACACTCGGGAAAGCTAATAGGTATATGGTCGCAGTTCGACTCATTGATGATGTGGCTCTTGCTATCTCGGTAAGAGAAAAAGAAAGGAGGGTGCATGATTTCATTCTTGACGCCTTCCTTTCTTGCTATCCAAGTAATTTGTCGTTGAAACGTACGGACGACGGTACAGGTACATTCGATTTTCTCGGGTGCCAGATTAGAACAGCACAGTCCTATCCGTTTCTGGGGTGCATTCAAATGTCAAGGAACGAAGACAGTATTTGGTCAAAACAGGGACCAGTGGTGAAGAATGGTCAGTCATACTATTCCTGGAATAGTAAAAGACATAAGAGTGCTATCATTGGAAGCCACCTTCACAGGATTGATCGGAATACTTCGATCCGGTCAGAAATCCCAGGGAGGGTGCTGAATCTGCAACAGGAGCTCGTTTTGAAAGACTTCCTGACGTATTTTTTTCAAAGAGTTCTGAAACACTTCGCCGTCAGACGGGATTCAGTCTGGCAATACACTTTTCAAATTGTTTGTGGACACGTCACAAACTGATTTACTGAGTCGTTCACCCACGAGGGAACTTTGTTATTCAATTTTGCGGCAGTATTGATATTCTGTTTTTTGTACTGAATGAAGGATTCGGACAGGGTCTGGTGAGGTAGTACTAGAATCGTGTGTGTGCCAGTAGCTGAATTGTGCTATGAAGGTTGGTACCTTGCTGGTATTGTTTGAGCCACTTCAGGACCATGACTGTTTCTGGTACTCAACCGACACATTTAGCGTTTCGTGACTTTAGGACAGTACCACTTGCTAATATTTTCGGACTATAAATAGATAGACAAACGTTTGTTTCATCCTCTCAGGTCCTACGCTCGGCAAGCGACGAGTAGGATAGCGCCGGCGATAGGATGCCAGTTGGAATGATGGGGGAAAACTGGATGTGAGGACAAAAGGTGGTACCTGACTTGATGTTTAAACTGGGTGTGAACAGAAGGTGGTACCTGACTTGATGTTTCGACCTCGTTCAATCTATGTCAGCGCAGATTACTACGTCTGACTTACTTTTTTGAAGTCGACTTGTTACATATGTGTGTTCGATTGTGATGTTATCATAATCTCATAAAACATGAGGTCAGTCAGTGTTTGGGTTGCATAAGATTTTGAATTGAGGATCCGCCGCTACCTACGGTAAGTGGCCACCCCTCCCCTACAGATCGAACAGGACCTGTTTAAGTGTGGACTGTGGAAGCACCGCACCCAATTCTCACAGCGGCAGTTGTTGTACCGAATGGCACAACCTAGACAAATGTCATAGGCCACGTAGCTCCGATGCTAATGGCACAGCCTAGACAGATGTCATTGGCCACGTGGCTTCGATGCTAGGAACACCGAGGCATACCGACCGCAATTGTAGAGGCACTGCCCTTCCAGCCCCTGTCTAAAAATTTGACACTACATGTCAGGGTGCCATACATGAGTGCAGTATGGACTGTCATCATAGGTATGAAAAGAAAAACTCCCATAGGCTATCCCTTTATAATCCTCACGGCACAGGGCATGTGAACTAACATACTAGCCGAACCTCAGATGGCTCATCACAGAGCGACATTGAGCAGCTTTCCCAGTATTTGTTCTCTCTCTAGGGGCAGATGATGGCGGTGGGGATTGATCCAAAGCCAGGGTGTTTATCTGCTGCAGGACTTGGTCTGCAACAGCTGGTCCTGGTGGTGATAACCTTTCAGTACAGGGCTCTGTAGGTGGTTCACATGGTAGTTTATTTTCCTCCTCAGGCTGCTGCATCTGTCGTTCGTCTGGCGACTCTAGCAAGGATGAAGGAGATCCGACTATGATTGCAACAGGTGTATGCCAAGCATTGCATGTGGGACATGCTAAGAGAGGATGTGGTCGATGATAACTAAGTAAAATAGGAAACTTTTGTCCGCACTTCGCTACCCCCAAGGAGTCAAAATATGCAAAAAAAAACATAAATTTTGACAACACTTCAGTACCCTTATAACGGTGCCGTAAAAAAAAAAAGATTTTTTTAGAATAAATAAAAATAAAAATAAAATAAATCCGAAAAATGAGAAAGAACCTAGGCTACCAGCCGGGCCGCCCGAGTCCCGGGTGGCCAGCCCGTGCAAGGATCAGGTAGGGTCCCAACAAAAAAAAAAAAAAAAAAAAAAAAAAAATCTGAAAACAAACTATGTTATGCAGAAAAATAAGCTGAACAACTTTTGCCCCAGGGTCATATCAAAACTCTTCACCAAATTTAAAATAAAAAATAAAATTCAAAAATATTTTATTTATTTTTATTTTTGTTAATTATTTTGGCCCGGCCGGGCAAGTGACCCCGGGCCACTCTGGTAGCCTAGGAAAGAACTAGGGGATAAGATAATTCAAACTTTTGAGGAAAAGAAAAGATTTAAATCAAAGAGAAAGATAAAAGAAGAAAAAACAGAAAAATTCGAACTTGGGGGGGGGAAGGGAATGAAAAAGTGATGAAGAAAAAGAGAAATAGGTAAGAAAGAGAAAACGATTGAAGTGGGAGAGGGGGGGGATGATGGGGTTGTAGTTGGGGGAGGGAACGGGGAAAGGAGTTGGAGAGAATGTGAGAGAAAGGGAGGGAAAAGGTGGAGAGGAGAAGGAAAAACTAGTGGAAGAGGATGAGTGACGAGAAGAGGAGAGAAAAAGATGGTGGAAGATGAGTGAAGAGTGAGGCATAAGGGAGAGCAGTGG